CAGGCATAGCAAGAAAACAAGACTTAAAATATATCAAGGCAATGAATGGGAGCTATGAAATCCATGGGTGAAATCCATGGGAGCTATAAAATTCTAGTCTGCATTCAGGTTATGAGAATTAGGCTTCCTTCAAACTGGAATCCACAAAGACCAGATAAGAATCCCTACACATATCAAATTCTATCACTTCCAATAGATATTGAACTTTCTAAACTTTGTTACCAACTACAAAGAAAACAAAGAAAAGTAAAAGCAAAGCAAAGCAAAGCATGCTGCTTCTATACTGCCCCATAGCACTTAAAGCACTCTCTGGGCAGTTTACAATTAATTATTCAGGCTACACACACACACCCCGAAAGCTGGGTACTCCTTTTACCCACCTTGGAAGGATAGAATCAACCTTTAGCCGGCTACCTGGGATTAAACCCTGGGCCGTGAGCAAATTTTGGCTGCAGTACAGCAGTTTAACCACTGTGCCATGAGGCTCCTGAACTTTGTCTGGCTATCTGTCCATACATCTAAGGAGGACAGTAAGAATCATAGCAGGCAGTACGAACAAAGCTACTATTTGTGTAACTGAGCTACAGAATACCATTATACTTTAATTTATGGCATATTTAGTCCTGCAATGTAACAGTTAAGTACTAAAAAACAAAACAAAAAATCATACACTTTTCCTGGACTCTCTTCCTAAGAAAACTTTCAGATGTTGAAAATCAATTCCTTTTGTCTTTTCCTTATTCATCTGCTACACATTAAGTTGAAACTTTGGACATCCAGTAATTTCACAATAGCCTTTCATCTCTGGTGATGTCTGGGACCAATTAAAATCTTACTCTCCCTTAAATAATGGATACGTACTGCAGCATGCTGTTGATTTATCTGCCTGTGATTTTTGCCAGCTCTTTCAAGATGGGGCAAGAAACTAATTTGAATCTTTTAACCCAAGCCATTCTTGATGTTACCAGCTCAATGAATACATTAAGCAAAGCATTTCAAACAATTAAGACTGTTTGCAGATGTCAGAACAGACAAATTATACAAAATGTGTCAACATTATAGACCACTCTTTACAAATATCAGCACAGTAGTATATAAGAAATTAATGAAAACTGTGCCTCTTCTTTGAGCATAATGGCCAGCAAGAGGAAGACTATGAACAAAATTTCCCGTCCATATTAAACTGAAAAGAGTTATACAGTACTTAGCATCTTTTTATTGGGGCAAGTTTAATTAAGCCTTCCCTTTCCTCATGGATTTTAAGATTTCTCTTTTTTTTTTCTCTGAAAGACACAAGAATTCATTTTATCCAAACACTTCAGGACTGGCATCAAAATGTATCATTCTGTCTCACTCATGATTTCCTGTTATATATGGTGCCATATGTCCTAAAATACAGACATTCAAAGCTTTTCCTGATGTACTCTGAACTGTGTCTTACTATCATTCTCCCTAATTTACTCTTTGTTTCTCTTTGATTCTACTTTCCTTCTACCAGATGCTGCTTCCACACCCTTCCCTTAACACATAATCCCTGTAGCTGAAATAATAAATTCTAATTAAGGAAACATTCATACAACTCTGCTGACAATCCCCTCCTGCTAAGAACCTAGCTTTCTGCTGAACACTGATGCACTAACGCCTCCTTCCAGAAAGACAATGCACTTTTTGCAACCAATAATACAGAATGATTTATTTTCTGCCAAAAGACCTTTCCATCAGGTGAAAACTAAAGCAAAACAACTGGAGCTCTTACATAATTTTCTCCCCGAAAGAAAATTTAATTTTAAGAAACAATTTAATCTTAAGATTCAGGTGAATAGAAACATCCAATCTTAGTTCCCACTCACTTTTGCTTTTCAAAGGGAGTTTAGGAAATGAATAGGACATGCAAAGATTACCACAGGAAGACGTTTCCCTCCACTTGTTTTTACTTATTAACACTTCTAAATATGCTGCCCCATCCCTAATGTGCTGACACTGACTACCACCACAAAAATGTAGTACTGAAAATGAGTGTCACATGTTCTGTGCCTAGATTTCAGCACCCTATTGCATACATGTGGATATTGGTGGTAAAGTAATTCACCCTAAAAACATCACCTAAAATTTGAAGATTAATGTAGTTACTTCCAAAGAAACGTTCTGCTTCCAAATAAACCCTTACTGAACAATCCTAAGCACTCCCAAGCCAACTACACCAGAGCACAGAGTGCTGTCCTCTGAAGATGCCGGCCACAGAGACTGGTGAAACGTTAGGAAGAACAACCTTCAGAACACGGCCAAAGAGCCCGAAAAACCCACAACAACCAATCCTAAGCATGTTGGCCACAATCCTGCTTGTGTTTGCGTAAGGTTTGTGCAATTTGCCATGGCTCACAACAGCTAATTGATGAGTCGCTGGAGCACATATCAATTGTGCAACTGGGGTCCTGAGAAAGTATGTGATCAAGATGCAGCCCAGCACATTGGTAATTAGCCTTACGCAGACACCAATGACTCAGGTTGTTTACTCAGAAATATGCCTCAGGAAGTGTTATTACTCAATAAATGTGGTTAGAAGTACAGCATGAAAGTAGTCTGATACTTGTACCTGTACTTCTGTGCTAGTGCCTATAATTCTAGTGCCCAGGTTCAAAGTTCCCTAGTCAAGACTCAGAGCTATGGAAGACCTCTGATCCGAGATCTTCAACAGCCATTGCAAATCCAAAACAAACAAACAAACATACAAAAAACAGCAGAGAGCAAAATGGAGCAATGGACTGATTCAGTGTAAAAGGACTTATATTTAATATACTGCAGAGGTGAACAAACCATGACAAAAAGTAGTGAAGCTCTGAAGGCTACAGATGTATGTGGTCCATTTGGACAAACACGCACCTACACCTACTCTCTTCCCTATACTTTAGTGTGCCAGGGGCAAGACTTTGACCTCAGCCTCATCCTTCCTTCCTTCCTTCCTTCCCAGCCACTCTGAATGGAAATCATTATTTGCCTACCAGCACTGACTCATCAACTGAACGCTGGGGTAAAGAAGGTGGGGCCTCCTTAGGACTGTACAGAAAGTAGCTGCAGATTGCTGACTCCTGGCTTAAAACGTTACAGGCTATGCAGAGTCACTAAAGCTATTACCACATTCAAATTAAAATAGTGAATTTTCTTTTCCTTCCAGGATAAGGAGACAATAAAAAGGCTTGGTAAGGAACAGAAACCATTGATCTGGTTGTCAAGCCAGAGGTTAGGAGTTCAATTTCCACTGTGCCTTACTGAGAGGGTCTGGATTCAATGATTCACAGGGTCCCTTCTAGCTCTGCAGTTCTAAGATTATTATTATACTATTAAAATCATATTCATATTCAGAAGCATCCACCAAAAAGACCCTTTCAATGAAACACTGCACAAAAAACGCAACCATGTTGTGGCACAGACAGAAGGTATGCAAAGAAACCCCCAACCCCCAAGGATATCTCAGGCCTCGTCTCATGAGATTGCTCAGAGTTCACATTGCTGACTCTGGAAAGCAGAGTTATTTTCTTGACCATCTTCTTCTCATTCCTCCCCAATAGAACAGGAGGTTGGACATCATCATGGCCATACTTGAGTACAAATGCAACACTTCCAAACAATGATGTTGCCAGAATCCAATTTACAACATTACCAAATGGTGTATTTAATTCAAAGGTGCATTGCTAGTTAAAGAATCAAGGTTTGTATTCTTTATCACACATTGCGTTATGTGACTGGTGCATGATGAGGAATACAAACATTGTATGCTGGTGCACACAGGTAATAGGATTCTGGACATGGTATTACATCCACACCCATTTTCACAATTCTTCAGTTGATAAGTTATTCTCCTACCTGCACTTCTACTCCTATTCTTCTGACTAAGACAAGTAAGAACAAAATCTATAATTCCTGGAGTTCTATAAAAAGAAGATTCAAGAAGCTTGGAAAATCTTCATTAAATTGAGCTGAAAACTCAGTGACAGCCTTGTACAAACATTTAAACCTATGGTTTTCAATGGGCATTGGATTAATCTGCTTCAGCAAGGTAACAAGGACTCTTGTGGCATCTTTAACAGATCTATCATAGTAAGAGTTTTTGTAGGGATAAACCACTTCTTCAAATACTTGGAATAAAATCTTAGAAGTGAGGGTATATATACCCAGTGTACATTCTTAGGCAGTGGTACTGTAGCTACAGGTTCCTCTTTTCTACCGAAACAATTTTCAAGTCTGGAAAACTCTGTTAACGACAGTGAAGCAAAATTGACAGATAAAGAGTTAAAGAGTTAATCATGGGGATAGGGCTCTAAGCTAGAAAGATCCCGGCAGGCTTTATAGAATTATGAACCATCTGTATTTTTACCGAGAATTCTTAACTTTGAACAGTCTAGTCCATTTGCAGACTAGACTGCTAGGTTTAACTTGTATCTTCTAAGGGCAGAAAGAGACACGACACATATAGAAGAGGGAATTCCTTTACTGCTGAATCTTTTTAAATTCATGGCAGAAACCCTTATCACTTCAGCCTCCTTTGTTTACTAGTTCTAAGCATGGGATTCCTTTGAAGACACATTTTTCAAAATATGAAAGCCTGCTTTAATCACCTCTCTCCAACAGAAACATGTCTGTTTCTGACCTCATGGACAGATGATCAAGCATTTGAAATTATAAAAGATTTTCAGCATCAAAGCTGGAATAAGCCTCCATTTGAATACCGAAGGTCAGCTTCCAGCCAAACTTGACAAGGCTGGATTAAATTATTTTTGAAAACTACTTATTTTCTCACTGCTTTTCCCTGTTGAAAACAAGGTTCTTATTTTTGCTTTAAAATCAACAGCTTACCTTGTGCAACACATACACAAATACTAATATGAGGAGACCAGAAAGTAATTTCTAGTAGAAATTCAAACATGAATGATTAACTTCGTTGCCTCAGGCTTAAACTGGAAATGAGTTTGGAGTTGACTTTTTTCCCCAGGGGAATGCCTTACCTCACTAGAATCCTCTTGCTGATTGATCACAGCTAGTGCATCCTCTGCAGCCTGCCGCTTGGCTTCTGCCACAGTGCGCTCCATTTTAGCTCTCTCTGTAGTAATCATATCATGGGCTTTTCGTTCTGCCTCTGACACTGCCTTCTGCAACTCGGTCATTGCCTGACGTTTCACTTCATTGACTGCTTCCTCTGCAAAGAGAAAAATAGTTATTTCTCAGCTAAGCAATAACATTAATGTGCATAGAGAAACTCTCTAGAGGTTAGAAACCTTCCTTTTTTGGATTTCAAAAATCCACCTGGCAGTAGCCCAGTATCATTTCTAAGCTTTGCAAATCACTAGGTGTTTAGACCTAACAGAGTAATGAGATCTTTGAGTTACTGGAGTTACTTTGAGTAACTGGAGCCACTGGAACATAATGTATACATTATTCATAGAACCCTGGTTCCCAAACTTGGTTAACCCAGGTGCAACTCTTAGAAATTCCGGACAGCAAAGCTAAGATGAAGGCTTCTGGGAGTTGCGGTCCAAGAACACCTGCATTACCTGAGATTAGGAACCACCAATTTAAACATCAAATAAGGCATGTTGTTCCAGGGGTACCCTATAACCATTCATAAAATCATGAACATTCATTTACTTCTCAGTGATTTTCACCTCTCTTATAGACTTAGAGCAGGGGAGGACAACTTTGACAGGCCTAGTGGTCAAATGTCTACCCTAAATATCTACTTTGGGAAGCTGTATCTAGCTGAGGAATATTTTAAAAAGTCACAAAAAAAAGCAAAAGCATTTAGAGGTCTACTTCCAGTGTTAATTTGGGGGATTTGGAAGGATGTGGCTTGGAAGAGCTAATTCAACCTAAACAATGTAAAAATTGCTTGTGGGAAAACACGTTTTTCACTCTCTCTTGCTCAAAAGGAAGGAAGGAAGGAAGGAAGGAATAAAAACTGCTTGTGGGAAAACACGTTTCTCACTCTCTCTTGCTCAAAAAGAAGAAAGAAAGAAAAAGAAAGAAAGAAAGAAAGAAAGAAAGAAAGAAAGAAAGAAAGAAAGAAAGAAAGAAAGAAAGAAAGAAAAGAAAGGGGGGGGGAGAAAAGAAAAATATTTATTTTCCACTGGGGGAACTGGGAGGCACTAAAACAGCCTCAGAGGATATACTTTGCCTGTCTCCATTTGTTTAATCGGTTTTGTCCTCACAGTCTGATTCTGAGCAAAAGCTGCAGCATTTATGGCACAACCTGCCTTCTGCGTAAATCTCCGTGGATTGCTAAGTCAGAAAAGCCAGGCTTCATTTTTGAGTGACTGCAGTTTTCAGCAGCCCCAGCAGCATCAACGGCAAACAGTGCACAAGCTTGTCTTTTCCCATCTACTTTTCCATGATCAATCCACAAGAGGGAAGACTCTCATTAGCAGAGTGAAAGTCACATATTACCTAACCTTTCTAAGATCCCTGCATGCCAATTCTGGTACTTTCTTTTAATACCTGACATAGCACTGGCCCTGCACTGTTCAACTAGCAGAGTCCTTTCTTTTCAGCTACTCTGCTCTTATGCTATAGTGATTATTACTAAAAAAAATCCTCTCCCAGTGTCCCTGCCACGCAGAGGTACATCTGGGTGAGATATTCAATATATATACAAACTAGAACATAGTTACAGTATATGCACTTCTCTAAATTTTACACTTAAGGTAAAAATACACATACAAATCTGTGTTGCAGGAGAACATGAGAATGAACATGCATTATCTTAGGGAAAGTCACAAGCGCATTATATACACTCGTACATTCAAAAATGTGTATAAAATAGGAATGTTTTTAGAAAAGTAGATAAAGTATTATAAATTTTCATTCTGACTTTTGAAACATTTGCAAAGTAAAATGGAAATGAGAGAGGACAAACTTAATATTGGAAAAGTGAGCAGCAGAGCGAAATTAATGTTGGCAGATTCATTGATCTCTACTTGTGGACACCAGATGAAAGATTTTTTTTTCCCCAGCTGTGGCTGACTGCTTTTGGAAATAGGTTTACTCGGCACATAGTGCCATGGCAAGGGGCATGAAAACATTTTAGTCCTTTTGCAATTTTGATTGCTGATGTAAACAACACAAATCACCTCGACCTAAAAGAGCTGCTTCTTTGTTTCAAGGACTTTTCTCAATCAGAAGGACTGGATGGTTTGCTGCCATCTTTTTAAAATGACCCACTCCTTTGGTGCTGAGCATGTCTGTGTATTGCTTCTCAAACAGAAATGATACTAATTTCTTGGCTGTGAGATTCTGATTATGAAAAGTCCTCCCCCCTGCATGCCTGACGGGTGCATACGTTGCCTTTATTTCGTTGTCAACTTAAAATCTCTGTGTTTAACTAAGCATTCTGAACAAAAAGGCCATCCATTAATTTCTAGTCCTTCAGTTTACAGATGTTTTTCTTGTTTAGAATGTTTTACATTGCTTTCAGTCCTTGAATTGATGTACAGCCTTTGATGTTTCTGATTGTACCCTGCCTGTTGACAGAGGGCAGCTAGAAATGAACTAATTAATATAGATAGTTTTTGCAGAAACATTTTGTGCAAATTGGGGAGATCCTCATGGAAAAAAGAGCTTCTTGTCTCACTCTCAAACTGAAACCAATGGGATTTTGTGGGAACTGAAAATTCCTCACAGAGATGTCTTGTTATGGTGAAATAGTCCATGAGAACAAAGAATTCAGCATGCATTCATATCAAGGCATTAGAATAATGTAAAAATAGTTACAGTGTCTTAGATCAAATTCATCTGTCATAAATTAACATAATGCACACTGCGTTTTCACATAATTTTAGTTGTGAACTGTTGTCAATGGCACAGGTGAATTTTTCTAATGCAAGAGATTTCATGTATTCAACTGACAACTAAAACAAGTAATTTTTTTAAAAAAATTCAACTAGTCTTATTAACAAGGAAACTATCCTCCCTCTGATTTAGTGTATCTAATTTTCATCTTTATTCAAAGCAAAATGACAATGATTAATTGAAAATTTAATAAGCAGTAATTATTAACTTGGCAAACCTAGTACCAATTAACACTCTATTAAAACTAATTACGACATGTCTCATTCAAGTGTTTGCACTTAATTGTTTCACCCACTTAAGAAGCACCTCAATTAAATGTTCTGTTTAATTAAAAACATAAGATTCCAATAAAAATGTTTTACTGTAGAATAAAAATATTAGAGTTACAAACGTTCCATGGTTACAGTGGAATGTACAGCATACCACAATACCATAAATTTAGTACCCTTTACCTGAAGCTATTATTGAATCTCTTAATGTATAGGGCGACAATACTCCACACATTTACTAACGATGAAGCCCTGAATATCTGAATAGGACTCATCTCTGAGTAAAAAAATCTACAGGACTTGCTTTTAGTTCTTCAGGTAGACTAGGATTTCTGTCCAGCTCTCACCCAATGGGAATTTTTTTTACTCTTTTTTTCTCAGAACAATGGATGTTCTCCTTATGCCATATTACATTTGAAAACTGTCTCAGAGTCAAAAGCAATTTGACCTTTATGTGTGTATGTGGGTGATTATTCACAAAACTGAAGCACAAAGTTTTCTCTGCTGCATGGCATTGTCCTTTATAACTTGGTCATAACCTTGACATTTGATGGCATATATTTTGTTCGTACAGCACCACATGAAATCATGAAGCTGTATCATTTTAAATACTGTACCCCTAACACTATTGTCAAAATCTCTATTTATATGACAATCACAGACTTAACTTCCCTGTATTTTTAAAATATATTGAAATATATTTTAAACATGTTTAGGGAGACACTGAACATGGAGTACATTTATTAAAGGATATCAGCTGCCCAGAGAAATGTGCCTAATCTGAAAATCTGGAGAGGAAGCAATAATATTTTACAGGAAAAAATTATAGAAAAAAGACCAGTATGCCTTAATTTTTATGAGAGTTAAAAAAAATGCCCTCGCATTACCCTCCCATAAATGTTTGGGAGAGACAGAAATCAGACCAAGCAGCTATGCAAGACTGGGACTCATTTACTTTGAATATTCAAGGTGAATTACAATTCTAAGTGGCAACAGGACAATAATTTTTGCTTACGATCAAAGCTGCAGCTTGACTAATTGTGTATGCAAATAAGGCAATTTATATTTAAATTATGCATTCCTATTCTAGTCCCACCGGCACACACAGATCAGCAAAGAGAACTGGTAGGACATTTGCAAGATGCTTGAATATTTATTACCAACTGCAAACATTCTGTGATCCCTTGAAAAGAAATATATGGAGACAAACCCACAGATGCAAATTTTTATTGCTATCTTCATCAAAAAGGGGGACAAAAACCTAAACACAAGCCTTTTCTACATTATATCAACCCATGAACATATCTTTGTTAACCAACCCCTAATTTATTACATTTTATATTGAAAAAAAATTCAAAATGCTCAAGTAGTAGTGCTCACCCTCAGATCCTGGATTTCATCACACATGTACAGTATTTATAGCATTACAGTAATATATATACACACACATATATTTGAGATCATCATGCGGTATTAGCCATTAATTTGCCTATGGCTCCTGATGGAGCTTCACATATGAATGCAAACCTGGTAAGTATACACTGTTTATATCTTACTCAACATCAATGAAGTGGACATTTTGGTAGCTTCTGTGCTAGCATTACGCAAGGGACAAGGAATCTGAGTCACTGCCAGCAGCCAGAAATAACCAAGACATTTACCATATACATTTGCACACTTAATGGATAATTAGTCCAAACAGAGGATTAGTTTTCAATGCATGAAGAAGTGGGGGTTGTTCACCTATCCCTACAGAGAACAGGGATAGGGGAACATCTCCAATTTCTTCATGTATTGAATAAATAGACCTGTTATCTTTCTGTCCAGATCAGGAACAAATCAATTGCCCACATTCATCCGTGGAGGGTCAAAAAAAGGAAAACTGCCGCCCAACTCTCAAAGCAACCTTCCAACCCTTCCACTTATAAGTAGAGATGACCGAAACAACAGCAGGGTCAAAGTAAAGCACACTGGGATTCAGAGCAGTGGACTTTGAAACTGGTCATTTTACAGTTATGCAGGCCAATGGTTTTTAATGTGCAACGAGGGGGGAAGTTGAGAGGGGAGATTTCTCCCCTTTCCTTTTGGCACCACTATGTGCCATTCCTGTTTGCAAAACCAGGTTTTGGAAATGAGGAGGGCTGGGAATCTTTCCCAAGCTCAGATTCTGGGCTGGGCTGGAGTAAGATTCAGGTAGTGGTGCTTGAACATTTATCTCCAAAGCTAGTTTTTCAACCAGGCTGTCAGCCTAATCAGAATCATTAACAGAAAGAGTTAAGTGTGGTCAATTTCATCTCGATTCAGCAGATAGATAGTCTTAAATGAAAGGATTGGCTTACAGAACAGGGTGCCACATGAAGAATGAAAATATGTCAGAGGAAATGGCACAAGATTGCAGACCCAACACAGAAATTTGAAGCTGGGTAACCATGCCAGTCTGTTTTAGTAAAATAACTATACATTTTGTGGTGCCTTATAGCCTAAAAAATGTTTTGATGTACAATTGTGGACTACAACACACTTGATGTGATGTACTACTTTGGATCCAGTCTTTTCCAGTCCTTTGACTTTCTCTGCATTTACTGCTTCCCAAATAAGGACTTTTATTTTGCTTTATCAATTATACACATGCTCAGATTGAACTTCAACTTTATCAGAAGGAAATGTGATATAAGCCCTGAAAATGATCTGTTTATTGTTGTGGATTCTATTTTTTACAAATATTATATCGACATCCCCTTATCTTCAGACATAAATGCTGCTGTAATTAAAAGGATTTTGTGTTCTGATCTGTTCCAGCTTAAGATTGTGAACTAAAATTTTGGTTTATTAGCAGCATATCTTTTTTTTAAAATAAATTCTATCAGAGCATTAACAAATGCACACAGCTGCCAAACTGCTACACTCATGTTTTTGAACAATTCTTACCAGCTTTCTTCCAGATCTCCTCTGGCACATATCCAGAAGCTGGCCTGTGAAGGAATTCCCGATGTGAGTCTATAAGAAGCATAGGGAGGATAAGGAAAACAGAAAGAATATTTTTAAGTAACGGTTCATCAGACCTTTCTAAAAACATGCTCCTTCTTTAATATTTCAGTCAAGGAAGAGCAAGGATAACCTTTACATAAAATGAAGGGGGCAATAAACCCATTATTTCAAAAGCCCTTACAGAGCAGATCAGCTGCCTTGTCTTCAAGTAGTGTGGCAGTATGCCTCACTAATAAAACAATCTCTTGAAACCAACTAGGTAAGAGATACTTCAAACCTCTCCATTTGCTTTCATTCATAGTCAGATTTTGACAAAATAAGTAAATGAAAAGTAAAAATATCTGATCTACTTGAAGAGCTATTTGGGGGGGGGGAAATGATAGAATTGGCCACTGAATTCTGGCTGTGATGTTACAAAATAAAAACAGTAAATAACGTTTTCTGGTTTTCCCTATATACGTTGATGACTCTGGTCCATTAAAAGGAATCAGAAAGATGGGAAAAAACTCCAGCTCTGCTTTCATTCTCCTGGACTGATTCAAGCTAGAAGCTACGAATCCAACATTTGTTCTCTGATGGTATTACTTTTTCTGTACAGCAGGCATCTATAACACTACTGGACAGGATGTGTAGGGCTGAAAGAGGTTAATGGAATTTGCAAATATCTGGTATCTCACTTTAATAACCAGTATTTATGATGAGGAATAAAGGGAGCTAATTGCTGCCATCTTACTTTTGACCAGCTTGACATGTGGTAGATCAGTCTCTGGAATTGACTGCTTCAGAAGACTAGTGGAAGATCTAGCGATTTAGTGATGCTTCTATCCCCCTCTTGTTTCAAAATATTCCCTAAACATAGATTCACAGATGCCAGGATAAAACATCCTAGCTTGAACTTTTCCATGACATAAAACTTTTTTTATTTTGCAAAAGAGTGTGAAGTTAACCCTTTTGAAATACAACCGTTTAGGACCAGTTTTGTTATGTGATTGATGTGTTGTGTATCTGGACTTGACTGAAATTCCCATCAAGGCTGAATGTTTTGTCTCTCGTGTGCAGTAAAATCTGAAGAAAACCTAAGACCCTTTGGTCCCAATATTCTATTTTGGCAGACAAGTTGCTAGCTTTTGCTGACCTAAGCTACCAAAAGAATAGAGAGAAACTGTTTGGAACCAAAATGTTAAGCTACTGGCAAATCAATCTGCTATTATCTATGCTATTAAACACTACTGTAATGGTATGTTAATACCATATTTATGATAGGTCAGTGCCATTACCATTGCCTTCCGCACTGCTTATGTGTTGCCACAACAAATCTTAAGATCAGGCCAGACAAACATAAATGAGTCAAAATAATAGGTGCTAGATTGTTTACAATTTACTAGCTATAGTTCTTCCTTTCCCTCTTACAATCTTAAAAACTGAATTATGCTTAATTAGCTTTCTGTAGTTTAAAGTGAACTTTAGCAATGAGGTGATCAAACCCGGGAGCTGAAACAAACAATGTGGTCATTTTTATCACTTTTTCTCAAGTTTCCAGGAAAAGGTGATTCACAGCTGAATGTGCATCATAGACAATGAAGAGGAAGGAGATAAATCGCATATGTTGAACCTGGCAGCCATTACAATAATATCCACAATAGGCTTCTCTTGTAGTAGCTGGAGGAGAGACTTCCTTACAATTCCATTAATTACTGAGACAGAGAGAAATCCAGAGTTCAAAGTAGCTACTAAACTCAAAAGATTGTGGGCTGTTTAGTAAGCAAAAAGATGTGAAGCAGGGCTTCTGTTTAGGTTTTCTGGAAACATTTTGATTCTGCAAGCAGTCCCAGAATCAGAGATTCTCTGAGGAGCCTTTTCCCCCTCCATTAGTTATGGGTTCATCTTGCAGTTGTGGCACACAACACAGCTTTCAGAAAGCGAACACATCTAGCCACTATTTAAATTGCCCACAATAATTCAGAGAAATGCTGTGTTGAATACAGAGAGTAAATTTAAGTAGTGGGTAGAATGCTGAGCTGGAAAAGACATGTTTCTGAAAAGAGGATTCCAGGACAGCTGGGATGCTGCCTACGAGTGCTGGTTCGTGATGCTGAACTTGTATAGCAGGATGAAACAGCATCACAGTTCAAAGCAACCCCCATTCAAAATCCTTTCCATGTTAACTACTACTCATTATTACCTCAATGACCTGAGATTTCATTGCTGCATGTAATCACTCCACTGAATGATAAAGCAGTTATCACCACAATATTTTTAAATGCTTGGCTACATTTTAAAATTGCTGAATAGTCAGTTGTGTGCTTTAGATGCCACAATCCAGAAGGAGCAACGATACAAGGGGATTGTGAGATTGTACGACCATGATCTTGGCTTCCTTTCTGCTACACACTATGCTTCCTTGCTATGTCTTCTATTTTTCTGTGGGGTACATGCTATGGAACAAAATCATGATGTTTCATATAGTGTAATGAAAAATTGTCATAGGGTTTTTCACTTCTCATTATCATTATTTTAAAGAATGATGAAAATCATATGAAATGTATTCCTAAAAATAAATATATGTGATATGATAAAGCTAGTGTGGGTGACTTTGTGCCTTTTGAGACCAGTGTCTCTATATCTCTAGAAGTGGTGAGCAAAAGCTTTTAAAAAGTCTATGCATCACATCAACCAATCTTTTGAGGTAAAGAACCGTAGAATTTGTCCATCCAGAGACAGCTTTAGAACCCCTCTCAGATATTATAACTATGGAAGTTGACAGAACCAGGTCTTCCCTTTTGATATCTATAGGTCCTCATGGTGGCTTCTGTTAATGTAAACTCAACAGCTAAGAAAGGTGCTTAATCTCAGTTAAGTGACTCCATTTTTTTCCTAGAGGAATCTCATCCAGAAGCCAAAATTGGCTTTTGGCCAATGAGTCATCACTGGTGATGCTTTCTCAGTCAGCGTAGTTGGACATAGTGTTTCAGAGGGCTCAATTTTATTGCTCCTTAATATTTATATGAAGCAACTTGAAAAAAATAATATATAACTTTGAAGCAAGGTATCATTGATATGCTGATGGCACCCAGTTGGAGAAGCTCTGTTTTAAACCAGTTTTCTTAGCCTCTAGTTCACAAGTCTGAAACAAAAAGAAGACAAGAGGGAAGTTGTATGGTTATGAATTCTGGAAATACCTTTGTGCTTGATCTTCTACATAGCTGGAACAATGGCAAAAAGTGACTTTATCAATTTCATTGCTACACAGGCACTTTTCTAGGAAAGAAGACTACTACCAAGGTAGAATATGATTTGTCTCATTGAGGAAAACTACTGTAATGTATTTCATGAGGGACTGCTCTCAAAGAAGGTGCAATTTCCCATCTCTCAGGACAGACTGAATGATGGAGATGAATTAACTGGTATGTTTTACAAATGTCTTGGTTTCAAACATGGCTCAATGTTTTCATTCATATATTATCTATTCTGAAGTTAGGTTCTAAACTGTCTCACACTGTTCTCTTCAGGAATATGACATTGTAGAGTTGCTCAGAATCCAGATGTCATATAGGGGTCCTGTTCAGTGTAGTATCTACAATTTCTTTTATTTTAAGGGCTTTCAAGCAGTATTTCAGAGCTTTCAAGCAGCAAAGAAGGAGTAGAATATATTTCAGTTTCATCAATTTACAAGACTTACTATTTCAATGACGCCAACAGGAAAGTCGTAGCTTTGGGAAGTGGAAGAGACTCACAAAAGTTATATCCCTTTGTGCTAGTAGATCAATTGTCTGCAGATATTGGTCTGAAACTATGAGCATTGCTGGATGACGATAAGAAAACATGATAAAACGCATGGAACTGCAGGGGATTTTAGCCTAGTCTACTGCATTGGCAAGGAGAATATCACCTGAAGAAATGAGCCAGTTCACAACATCATCACAAAAGAAGATGACTGGAATTTAGAAAAGAGACAGTATTTCTTAAAATAGGCTTAGAAAAAGAAACTTTTGAACCATGCTGCAGTTAGAAAACCTGTTTCTGTAAGAAGGAAAGTACTGTATTCATCTCCTCAAACACTTGGCCTACTGTCAAAGTGATGCGATGTAACATTTTTTATGGATAAATCACAGGAGATTAATCCGCCCCAAGATCAGGAGCAGTTCATAAATCAGAAAGAACCTATCAACCTGGATGTGAAGTTCTGCTAGTACAAGTAGCGTTTTGGAACTCTGCAGATTGTCAGGGGAATGTGATACAATAGAAATAAGCAGTGCTGCAAGCATGTAACGAGAAACAATTTGTTTCTGTTTTTTGGGCAGACACCAAGGAACACAGAATGTTTTCCCATGTCCATTTCTTACATGCACACCTCCATTTTCTTCCAGCTCCTAAAAGCTCTCAGAGCCACACAAAGCTTATGGAACTACTCTTTGTCCATCATCTGTGTAACCCTAATAATTAATAATTAAAAGGTCTATGTTTGAGAAAAGACGTCTTTGAAAGTAAGTAGGAAATGAGATTAAGGCACTGGTGGTCTTATATCTTCATTCCAATGTTGTCATCATTTTATGACTTTTCAAAGTAAGAGGCAGAAGCAAGACCAAGTTGTCACACACTGAATGTTCTACAGGCAGAAGATTCCAGAAATAAGTCCTTTGGCATCTCCAAGTAAAGGCCGGGAAAGACTTCTCTATGTAACTGGAGAGCTCAGAGCTTGAAAAAGCTTTTTTTTGTTGATTATTTATTTATTTATTTATTTATTTATTTTATTTTATTTTATTTTATTTATATCCCGCCTATCTGGTCAACTAAGGACCACTCTAGGCGGCTAACAGACAAAGAATAATAAAAATACTGTATACATATACAAAGGAACAAAATAATAAAAACTTAAGAAAGATAGAAATCAGTAGAAAGGAAAGAAAAAGAACATCCGGAGTTGTCTGGTGGGAAGGCCTGCCGAAACATCCATGTCTTCAATTGATTTTTGAAGATGCCCAGCGAGGGAGGCCCGCGAATCCCAGGAGGTAGATTGTTCCAGAGGCGAGGAGCCACCGCCGAGAAGGCCCGATTTCTTGTCTTCTCCTTCCGGGCCTCCCTCAGCGTTAGGCTCCTCAGCCTCACCTCCTGGCTCGCACAAGTGACACAGGTAGATCTTGGTGGGAGTAGGCGTTCCGCCAGATATCGAGGCCCTAAACCGTTTAGGGCTTTGTACGTAAGCATCAACACTTTGAAGTCGATGCGGAAACGGATGGGCAGCCAATGCAATGAGGCCAGAGTGGGCGAAATATGTTGGAATTTTTTCACTCCACTGAGTAATCTGGCCGCCGCATTCTGCACCACCTGTAGTTTCCGCAAACTCCCATCGACATGATGACCAGCAGATTCTGGAAGTTGGAATCCAAAAAAGTAATTTTCTGGAAAAAACACTGCCAAGTCATGGAGACAAGGCAATGCTAGCTCAGCCAATCATGTTATTCTGTATTGGCAGTTTCTTCTGGTTCTGGCCTCCTAAGAAACTCCCTCTGGTAACTTAGCTTCTAGTGTCAACTATACCATGAGACACATTAAGAAGAATTTCCTGTTAAGAGGATAAAAATCAAATTCTGTTCATAACATTAAACACCTTCCTGCAAAAGTGCCTGAATAAAGTGATCGTCTATTTACATGATTGCCCATCACTTTCCATCAAGTGGATTCTAAATGTGAAGGATGTCTGAGTGATATTTTTATGTATGCGGATTATTCCGGTCTGAAGCAATTTACTCTCCTATCATCCATGCAAATATTTAAGCACTTATTTTATTTTACACAATAGGCTAACTGTATGGCATGGCTTAAGCTAAGCATACATGCAGATGTGAACAGTGTATAGAAATTTCAAGCATGCAGTACAAAATGTACAGACATTTATTGGATTTTCTAGTTATCTCTAAAATGAATGTGCATGAACAATGTTTGCCATTGTCCAACAATTGTTGCAAAGGGCATGTGGAGTAGTGGAGTAACTTCCATACTGGTTCTTCAACGCCCAACCAATCCCTCACCCCTCATTTCTAAGCTTGATATCTGGATATACTCAAACATAGTTTTAGAGGTGAACAGGCCTCACACGTTTAGCCAGAGAAAAGCATACTTTGCTAGTAGTACTGTAAAAAGTTCCTCTTGTTTCTCTCTTTCTTTTAATGGAAGATACCTGATTTTAATGGAAGATACGTGATTATGAACATTTATCTTCTGCATGTACTGCTACAGTTCCTCACATCAGAGCAAGTTATTTTATCAAAAAGGTTTTCACACAGAGAAGTAAGCAGCATGTACGAATCAGCCATTTGCCTTGTATCTGTCACCTGGAGTAGCTTGAACTATTTTTCTTTTATGAAAAGAAAAAAAAAAGCTGTATCCACTCTCCATATGGAAGACTGCTTCACCTAGCATGAAGGTTACACAAACTGCAAAATCCTTTTGCTTTTCCCACTCATGGTCCCCTGGATTAGAAACATTATAAATAACCCTGAAAAGAGGCAGATTATGGCTGTATCTGAAACTGATCTACAGAATAGATAGCAATATAAATAATAAAGGGAGAATGAGGCACAAAGGCATAACAGATGGCTCACCCCTCTTTCACCCAAAGCTACTAGAGATGACAAGCTGGTAATTTTTACAGGGTGGATTAGCTTGTTAAAAATAACAAAGGGGGAATCTGTGATATATGCAACACATAGAACAAAACCCCAATATTTATACTTTGTGATGGTTTTAGTTAAAAATTGGGGGGCTTTAAAAGAATTCTATGGCCATTAGCCATCAGTTTCTCAGTATCTTGGAGGAATACCTACTGTTACAATGGATCTTTTAACCTCAGGGTCACTCATAAATTGCTGGCCATTTTGTCTTACGTATCCTAAACTATGAAAAACATATGACAATCAAAGATAAATCATTATATTTGTGAGGAAAAATAAAACAAGCTGTTATGATAAAACAAGACAGCGATGCACTTTTATTTGATACTGGAAATTAAACAGAAATCACAAATGGATAGTACATGTTTTGTAGAGGTTTTAATATTCTATCAATGGAAAAAGAAAAAAGAAAATTTAAGTGGGACTAGATTGGCAAGCAAGATAGTTGTTTCCCAAGAGGTAGAAATGTTAGCCTGTTTCTGGAAGAACAAAAATAAAAGTGTTGTAGCACTTTTCAGGTTAATACATTTATTTCATTGTGAGTGTTTACACATCGCAATTCACTTCTTCAGACACAATGCAAAGAATCTGTTCAGGCTACCAACTCATATTCCATTCTGTGGAGCTTTTATTCTTGCAGTAACTAATATACAGAGAGGACTGATATTCCAGATGTAGGTGTAGGCTAACTCTTGTGGGTCTGGTTTATTTTTCTCTTTTTATCAGTTAATTTAAACATGCAGAGATACCCTTCCCATAATTGGGGAAACTGGGAGGAAAAAAAAAAGAAAGGACTGGGAGGAAAAAAAGAGAAGCCAGAGGCAAATTCTAAGGCACATAGCATTGAAAAGAAAAGAAAAAGATCAACAAATGTTCTCTTGTCTTGCATACTTCCAGTGTTAAAGCAGACACCATACCTAAAGGGACGGGATCTGGATTCACAGGACTCTGCTGCCTGGAATGATTGCTACCACTGCCTTTTTTTAAATCCTCCGCATCACTGTACCGCCGTATCCAGTAATTAAGTTCCTCCCGGTCAGCTTCCTGACATCGCCGTAGCACAGTGAGCGATCGCCTTGTTTTTTCCACCATGTCCATGATGCAGTTCAAGAGCTAGTTGTCAAAGAAAGAAAGTGGGCAATAAGACTTGGTTGTTTGTGATACATATGTTTTGTTCGACCCTCCAAGGTGCTTAGGGAGCCACAGAAGGTTCATTCCCCTGCTCTTTTCCTCACATATTTTTACCTTCCTGACAACATTAAGGAAAGTTAGGCTGAAAGATGTTGGTAGGCCTAAGGGGTATCCACAGAAAGAAGATACTGTATTAGCCTGGACTTACACTTTAACCATATACCATACCACCTTAATCATTTATCCTTATTCAAATCAAACACTTGGAAACTTTCTCTGTTTCAGTAATTTGAAAATTTGAAATTTGCCACTAGGATGACAATGACCTGCTTTTTACACCAACTAGACTCTATGTGGGACGTGGTAGCGCTGCGGGCTAAACCGCAGAAGCCTGTGCTGCAGGGTCAGAAGACCAAGCAGTCGTAAGATCGAATCCATGCAACAGAGTGCCCGTTGCTTGTCCCAGCTCCCGCCAACCTAGCGGTTCGAAAGCATGCAAATGCAAGTAGATAAATAGGGACCACCTTGGTGGGAAGGTAACAGCGTTCCGTGTCTAAGTTGCACTGGCCATGTGACCACGGAAGATTGTCTTCGGACAAAAACGTTGGCTCTATGGCTTGGAAACGGGGATGAGCACCGCCCCCTAGAGTCGAATACGACTGGACAAAAATTGTCAAGGGGAAACTTTACCTTTACCTAGACTCTATCTAATATAAAATTGAGTGGCTGGGAGTTTATAAATCCCCATTCTATGTTACACAGATGTCACAGGAGTTGCTGCCTCCTCCTAGTGCAATTGTTCTCAACCTTCGGTCCCCAGATGTTCTTGGTCTACAACTCCCAGAAATGATGGCCAGTACAGCTAGTGGTGAAGGCATCTGGGAGTTTTAGTCCAAGAACATCTGGGGATCCAAGGTTGGGAAGCAATGTTCTACTGAATGGGTTAGATGGGTAAGTGGAAGGAAAGACAAAATACTCAGGGTCACCAAGGATGAGGGTTGGAAATTTTATGACTCTTCCCTGTGTAGGAATTCTAGGGCAGGCCATCTCTTGACTTTTCAAGGGTGTGGGCAAGAAGCAATGTAAAATGGGTAGCAACTCTCCACCAAGGCAAATATAATTAATATCATTCTACATTAAATGAAAATCACTGGATAAATAACACTGCATATCAATATCAGCAATTGTGGCAACAGTGGCAGCAGCAGAAATTCTATAGTATATTTCAAGTGGCCAAGTGATTCACAGATATTGTCTCAACGGCCATGTTCAATATGTTTACCTTTAAAGCCTAGGGTGCAAAAGAGGGAGCTCAGTGACAGTAGATTGATTAAGATCACAAATTAGACATTAACACAAATTAGACATTAAGCAAATGAGTATATCCTTAATTAACTTAATTCCCCTCCCACTATTGGAGCGGAAATAGGTAACATGTCTTAGCATATCAGACTTGAAAATGAATATAATTATCTTTTAATGACCAAGCACAAAACAAAGTTCACAGGAATGCAAGATACAAAGGTGAGGAAAACCAAATGCTATGTCAAACAGATGTCTTTCACTTCTATTCCACTTCCCTAAAGACAAGCTGACTGTATTATCTAATTTGACACTTAGTGAATTCAAGACTGCCAAGTGGTTTGAACCAGCTTTTTCCAGCTCACAATTATCATTGAGAGATGCACCTGTGACAAACCCAGCCTGTGATTGCCTGTATCTATCATCAAGCAGATAAACTACAGAAAACTTGCCAAGCCAAAAATGTGTATGGACTGGGGTGCAAACATTCACATTTTCTTCTCCTGTTGAGGAGAAGTAATACATATTTGATAATACTTAAAACAATATGTTGTTTTAAAAATACTTTAAAAAGTATCAAATATGCATTATTTCTCTTCCTTAGCAGGAGAAAAAAATAATAAGAGCTATGACACATTTACATACTTATACGTAGACACAAGTATAGGCATCTATATTACATTCCTTACATGGTCAAGGTGTTTCCATTCTTCTGCCCATTCTCTGTCTGTTAGCCTATGATCAATCATTTCTTCTTGACGTGTGCCATGCAACCCTGCCAAAAACAGAGCAAAAATAAATAAAATATTAATAGCATGCAGGAGTCAAACAGTAGTAGCTTAATCTTCTGCATATGTCTGCCACTTAATGGCACCCATAATGGTTATCAACACAGCTGATAAACAAAATATCAACGAGCTACACCAGGGGTTAAGCCAATCAAGAGAAGAGGCAGGAAACACGATCCCAGGGCCCTTTCAAGGCCTCCAGTGGAAATGCCAGAGAAGCAGGATGCATATGTTGCCTCTTGGGTCCTCAGCCAAATCATATCAGTAAGAAGAGGAGAAAAATGTAGCTAGACACTGAAACATGGAGAGCAAGGTGCCATATTATTTCCTTTCCCAACCAATATTCAAAAAGAAGTAGAGATGGTTGTTATAGGTTTTTCGGGCTGTCTGGCTGTGTTCTTGAGGTTTTTCTTCCTAACATTTCACCAGTCTCTGTGGCCAGCATCTTGAGAGGACAGGAGTCAGAACTCTGTAAGTTTTCCTGGCCATGAAAGTTTTCAAGAAGTAGAGAATTTATTTTATGTAAAACATTTCTATTAGACGTGAGAGCTCCGTATTTGTCTCCCAGGGGAGACGAATAGGAAGCCCGCCAACACATGTGTCCAAACAGTCCTTCCTCGCCTTCCAGAACCAGCCTGGTCCACTTGCCAGGCTCCTTGGTGCATGTGCACCCATTGGCGGTGTCATCACACCAATCGTCGACATAGTCATGCTGGCGCTAGCACCTCCCCCTTCAGCTGACCACTCAGCAGCTGAGCGAGGAGACTTCTCTTCCTGCCTCCTTGGTGGAGTAGTCAGCTGCACGGAGAGGCAGGGCACTGCCAGTGGGACTATGCCTGTGATTGGTGCAATGTTGCCACTTCCAGGCATCTACATGTGGAGGAGCCTGCTAAATGAAATGGGCAGGGAAGGACCGCTGAGACACCTGTGCTGGTAGGCTGCATATTCGTCTCCCCTGTCTAATTTCTAGCTACTGTTCTGAAAAGTTAAGCATCTCTCATCATGTAATAAAATACAATCCATGAAAAGAAAAACAACACCAATCTATCCACTCACGTTTCTCTCTCAGGCAGCCATAGGATGCAACCCAAAGCAATTTAACATAACTTTGCAAAAACATTTTGCAAAAAAACCTCCTTACTCCAAGAAGCATATCAAATCATAGGGCACAGGTGGAAGTGTGTGCTCCTCCAGACAATGATACGCTACAACTACTATCATCTTTCAAAGCTCTCTAGGGCTAATCAGAACTGGAGACGATACACTACAACTACTATCATCTTTCAACATCGACAAAGCTCTCTAGGGCTAATCAGAACTGGAGACTGATATCATTCGAAGGGTTGCAAGTTACATAGCTTTGACTACAGTCCTAAAGGACCCATTTCCAACTGCCACCATCCTAACCCAGAGCAGTGACAGTACTCAGAGAAGGGCTCGCTCTTAAAACCATAAAAAGCATAGTGTTATTGGGAGAACTGGCTCTTATTAGGCTTACAGGTCTTGGGTGGTGATAAGCATGCAAAAAAGAAAGGCTGAAGTGGTTCTGTAGCAGAAGTACTATTTATGCCACTCCCATTACTGGACATGATCACTATCAGACTGACATTACAAGAAATAAGCCCCCCCCCTTTTTTGGGAGTACAGCTCCTAAAGTCCCCTGGCCAGCATGATTGAGTCCCCTTGCTGCAGCTCTGTTCTATTCATGTCACTTGAGGCCAAACCTTTTAATTTCCCCCCCTTATAAACAGAGAAATAATGGCTCCAAACCCACTAATTCCAGTCTAGCTCAGAAGGGAAGGTTACATCTCAGTGGCAGAAATAATGCTCTATATGCAGGAGGTCCCAGCTGCATTCCCTGGCCTTTCCAGGTCAGGCTAAGAAAGTCTCTGGATGTAACCCCGGAGAGAGGTTTCCAGTCAAGATAGACTACAGAAAGATGTACCAATAGTTTGATAGTTGAAGATAGTTTTATGTGTGAAACCTATCACTTCCAGTTTCCAGTTTATACATAAGGCTTGATACACTGGTTGCAACGTGGGCTCTCGCCACTGGCTTTCAATATATGATTTGTTCCAATCTTAGTAAAAATAAAATAACCAAAAGAGGAATTGAATCATTGAATCCATGACTTAAAAATGAAATTAAATGGGACTTTTCAAGAGCACATGCGAGTCAGTACAAGCCTAAAACACAAACTTCATAAGGCTGCTCCAATTGTAAATTGTCTCATCATGTCCCAATTTTGAACTATAACAAAGCAAGCAGAGCTATCTTTTTCTGCAATATATTTTTATTCCAACAGATCGTGTGAAATGGTGTCTCTTCAGCTTTACCCTGAAAATGTTGTCTGTATTCAACAAACAAATTTTTCTTTAAAAACCCACACAATTCAAGATGAGAACAAAACTAACATCTCTGTGGCCTTCCGACTTTGAAAAGTTAACAAACATCTCAACATTTTATAAGTTCAAATCATACCCAGAATAAGAAAGAAGGTGCAAAATTTAGAACAAGTTCAAACTGGATGATAATTCACCTTCACCTTTTGTGAAGAGGGTGCAAAGAAATTTATGGATAAGATTCTCCCCCCCACTACCAAGCTTCAGACAATCATCAATACATGACTTCCAATCTATTGCAGCTGCCCTAAAGGAGTAACTGAAGTATGACATTGATCAAGAGGAAAACAACAAAGACCATGGAAGAAGAACTTTGCTTACCCATAGGTCTGGTTCTGTCCCTGAGGTCCCTGTGGTTGGGGTGTCTGTATGAGTCCCTGTAGTGGTGGGCAATGGCCATATCATCCAAACGGTAATGCTGAGGTGGAGGCGGAGTGGGGTGAGGCAGACCATTGGGCTGGTAAGACAAGCCATTATTTGGACTGTACCGCTGGCCTGGGCTAATAGTGCACGGCCGCTTGCTTGGATGCTCTGAGTGCAAAGGCTCTCTGTCAAAGCCATTTTCTTTGGTTCTGAAATTTAAAAAGAAAAGAATCCCATGTTATCTGTGTGACTACTTTCTCTGTGGGTTTTGCTGCTCATGCAAAGCAAATAGTTCAGTGGTTTAGGTATCTGGCTGTCGAGCCGGAGGTTGGGAGTGTGATTGTCCACTGTGCCTCCTTGAAGGGGCTGGACTTGATGATCCACAGGGTCCCTTCCAGCTCTGCAATCCTAAAATGATAATGATTAATGGGAGCCTATTCAAGTAGAAAAAGACATAGACAAGATATTTTATTTACATACATCTTATCAAGCCATTGTCTGCTAACAAGGGTTTGCATTGACTCTGCTAGCTTAGAAATCCAGGATAGTTAACTAATGTAAACATACAAAGGTGAACAGCAACATCTAAACCTTATAAACAGGCCATTGGGACATAAGGTAGAGTGGAAGAGAAAAGCCATGGCAAGATATTCTGCTTGAGTAAGCATGAATGCTTAAATTGAATGTGATTATTAATCTGCTTCTGCTCTAGATTTGAAGATAGTTGCATTTTAAAAGTTATTACATTTTGAAGATACATTCCATAGTTAGTTCTTAAGACTTCATTTATTGCAACTGTTATAGTTCAGTCTTAATATTCCTATGTATACATACCGTATACCTGAAAATAAGACAGGTTCTTATATTAATTTTTGCGCCAAAATGCATTAGGGCTTATTTTCAGAAGATTTTTTTTATATACATCAATCTTCTGGTTGCTCCACAATGGTGGAGGACGGGGTTTCACTTAACTGGGGCTTTTTATTGGGGTGAGGATTCTATTATCAGCATCCTGAAAAATCATACTAGGACTTATTTTCAGGTTAGGCCTTATTTTCAGGGAAACAGGGTATGTATACAATGAAAAGATTGTATAGCTTCTATACAATCTATATACTATACACACACACACTGTATGTATGTATGTATGTATGTATGTATGTATGTATGTATGTATGTATGTATGTATGTATGTATGTATGTATGTATGTATGTATGTATGTATGTTTTTATATATAAATACATATATATATAGACACATACATATAAATATGTATGTGTGTGCATGTATGTGTATGTATTTTTTATATAAAATTACATATATATATAGACACATACATATAAATACATATAAATATGTATGTAACTTAATCTATGTGTATGTATATATGTGTGTGTATGTATATATATGTAAATGTATACATACACACACACACACACACAGAGAGAGAGAGAGTTATTACATTTAATCCACCTTGCAAATGCCATAAAAATAATAATTCTTCTGAACACCCTGTGTACTTCTTAGGCAAAGTATTTAAAGGGTATCCAGAAAAAGAAAACTGTTTGTGCAGAATAAATTTTCTCATTCACATTACATACAAGACCCTTACACAGGGATTATTAGCTGTGACAGATTTTACAGGCTGAACAGCTACAGGAGTGTTATACGTTATTGCCATTGTGGGCTTAGTTCAAATGCAGTCTAATGACTTGACAGAGATACAAGACGTGAAACAAGAGAATGCCTTTTCCAAATAACAGATTGGAACATTAACATTTTTAAGCACATACAGTGGCTGAAATCCAGTTGTGCAATTATATGAATGATGAGACTTTTTGACATCAACTGCTGTAGAAGTTAAGAAGTCTCCGTAGAATTACCTGTTGCATGCCGAGTTGAATGACTGAGTAGGCAACAGATAATGTCTACAGAAATTTCTTAACTTAACGACAACTCCTCTCCAAAGGTTTTAGCATTTGTGTAGCAACGCAACAAGCTCATTAGATCAACTGTATTTTTTTTCACTGCAATCACTTCCTTCAAGAAGAAAGAAATACCGGTTCCATCTTGTACTTTGCTTTGCTTTAAAGGCGAGCAATATCAATAAATGGATAGAAATTGCCTACAGAAAATCACATCTTCTGTTGCCAAGTTTACATTCTGGTCTTTTTTCTTGTTCAATATATGATCCTACAATCACTGCAATCAGTAAATGCCTATGTCTGTCCAGAAATATGTGTGTAGGGAAAGGGGTGACCCACTGCTGTGGAGATGAGTACAACTTTTCTCGCATGAGCCTGGACAGAGCGAAAAAGCAAAAGCATGGGGTTGAAAGGAAACTGTGTCATAACATGTTTACACAACTGTACTTTTGAGATGGTCATGCTGCTTCTTGAAATTGGATCCTTTCAATCAAAATGACTGCTGCCATCCTACTGCACAAACACACAGCTATGTCACTTCAAAAACTTTCTGAATTTGTCCACTTATTGTATTAAGTTGCTATTACCTAGGGAGTGGTGAACAATTCTTCCTTTGATAAGCCTGGCAGGGCTATAGGAAATGACAGAAAAGTGTCCCCAGGGATGAGGAGAGGCTTCCTTCCCACTTTTCTGAGAGAACATGCCAAACGGATAAAATTGTGTATTTTACAGGATAGGTGGACAGATTGGTGGAACCAGGTTACAAATGACAGAAAACACATCTGCATTATTGATAACAAATGGTTTTACACTGCAAACAAACCCAAAACATTGCATATATTCTTATTGCACCTTAGATTGATGCACCAGAAGGATGATTTGTTTTACTTGCATTGTATTTATGTGTGTTTGTGTAAATGGAGGAGGTTGAAAAATGTGCAAAAAGTTAATATGTGACCACTTCTGATACAACCTAATTCTCAATAGCTTGTCACATACAGTTCTTCAAAAATAAGTCCAATAAAGAATAGTGTAAATAGGTGTCATTTGTACCTATCTATACATGTGAATAACTGTTGCAAGCAGTTTGCAGGGTCTGTGAAAACGTTAACTATGTGAACATTTTTCTGCAGTTAAATGATGACCAGAGCTGTATCTAAGCTCTCCATGGGAAACAACTGTAGTAATCAAGCTTGGTGTATAGATTGTTTTGAGAATGGGTCTCTATAATCCTGCAATTTTGATTATCATGGTCAGTATGTGTGTAAATATTTATCTCATCCTATTTGCAAAGATCACCGAGTGGAGTGCAGGCAATAAGGTAACGTTAAGCACATCACATGCTATACATAAGCCAGTATAGTGTAATAGACAGATTGTTGAACTAGAGACCTGGGTTCAAATCCCCACTTGATTCTGGAAACTCATGAGAGGGTAGAAATTCTAAACCACTCTATGAACATCTCAGATACCCCAAAAACTAATTTGGAAACAACCTGATGGCACAGAACAATACCACCATATGCTGTAGTCATGAAAAGAAAAATCCTCAGCCCTATCAAGCTATGATCAACGGACTGGAAAAGCTTTGCTAAATAACCAATGGCAGTGTTCTGCATATATTTTGTCAGCAGTGTTCATCACTGCTACAAAAGCCAACAATAAGTTGAAGCTCTCAGCAGGAAAGAAATATGTGCTGTACACACTCAGAGGATACACAACAGTAGTACGTATATGCTCAGAGCCAAGATCTAGGACTGAAAGCAAAGGAACATAGAAAACCGATTTGTACCGGATCTGCCTCTTTGTCCACCTAGTCCAGTTTGGTCATTGTCAGCTTTCCAGGGTGTGAGGCAGAGCCTGTCTCTCCTTACAGAAGCCTGTCATTTGCAACCTCATCTGTAGAGCTAGAGAAAGGAGTGACTGAATTCCAGACTGTCTGTATACAAAGCTGATGCTCTACTACTAAGCCTCCATTGCTCAAGGGAACACTCTTAATTGGCAGAAGCACGAAGAGGGGGAAAAAAAAGATTCTGGGGTAGTCAATAGCTTACATGGATGATGTTGATCCACTCTGGGGCAGATGAGAAAATGGTAGATTCGGTACTCACAATAATTCAAAAGGGGATAAAAAAAAAAGAAAATGGCCAGTACTGAAATGCAAATGCATCTGGTGTACATTTCTGTTCACTCCCTCCCAAAGAGAGGTAGAGCTAGAAAGTCTGCAGAGAAAGAGACACTAAAATGAACACAGGGCTGGAGTATTTTTCTTATGAGAAATTAACTACATTATTTTCCTCTGTGAAAATCATTATCTAGGAGGGTACATCACAGATATTTTTAAAAAATGTGCATGATGTTTCTTTCTTCAAATAAAAACTAGGGCTTGTCCAGTAAAATGTGATGACAACTTGCTTGAGATTCAGCACAAGAGCCAGAAAAATCTGGGGCTGGCTGTCTGAAACAGTGACTTTCTCCAGGTAACGCAATAGCTAATGACCTGAAATGGCTTTAAAAGGGGATTAGACAAATTCATGGTGGATAAACCTATCAATGGTGATTGGTTGCTTTGGCTTCATGGGATCTGTATGCCACTTTTGTAGGAGCAGCAGCAGCAGCAGCGGGAAAGGGCAATTGCCTTTATGACTTGCTTTGCTCTTCTCTGGAGGAACCTAACTGATCATTATGGAGAAAATCGAAGCTCAACAAGAGAGAGCTCCGGGTATGATCAGAACCGGTCTTATGGTCTGAAAAATATTTGCTAGCCAAGCAGAGTTATCTGAAAAAGCCATTTTGCAAAGTGTTGAGAAGCAATAGAAATGCAAACACATGGCTCCTTCAACATTATGAGCTCAACGTCTACTTTGGTTAACGGTGGAACATACCTGAAGTCTTGTATATACAGGGCATGCCCGCCAAACCAAGCCAAGCCAAGCCAAACCAAACCAATGCTACAAAGATTTAACATGGATAAAATATACTATGTATTTGAAACCATGCAAAAATTAATAACTGAACACAATTTTAAACAAAGCTCACATATGCTGGGTTCCTAAGTGGAATACATTTTTCTTTAAAAAAAGTCTTCCAGCAAGAGAACAGATTTTTTAAAAAGTCATTAAAATATGTAGTGAGTGCCTTGTCCCTGACATGCCATGCAGAATTACCAAAAAATGTGTTGTCTCCTCAGGTGTCACCCTCTCCTTTCTTTCAGTGACTGATGGCTCCCAGTGTTATTATAGAAACAGATTGATCTTTTTAATGAGCTAGTTTAATAGACTCCAAAATCTCACCGTGGCTGCTCATCCGTGTCAGACCATATGCAGCAAGAAAACATTCAGTGAAACACAGAACTCTGCTGTCAGGCTGCTCTATAAAACTTTGCATACAGTAGGAATGGTCATACAGATAAATAGCAAGAGGCAGAAAATGAATATGCAAACAAGATGCTGAAACTGCATTTGGGGGGGGGACAACAGAAGCTGTTTGTGGATATATTTCTCAGGTTGTCTTCAAACTTTTAAAACATGATTGGCTATAGAGACAATAGACTCTTTCTTTCAACTTGTCTCTATTGCCAACCATGTTTTAAAAGTTTGAAGAGAACCTGAAAAATATATCCACATACAGCTTAATTTCACTGACCACGTTGTATTAAATAATACCAATGCCAAGGGAGTGTGAGGGACAGATAATTAACTATTATATGTTATCAATTTCTATCCTCCCTGTCCATCCAAAATGGCCCCAAAGGTCATATTCCTGAGACAATTTACTGCTTAAAAGTCTACCTGAAGAGGAAGGTCTTTTCCTGACAAAGGAAAATAAATACTACAGAGGTGTAGTATTTACTGACTGTTGGACTGGGACTCATTCAGTGTTCAGTTCCCCACTGTGCCACAAAACTAACTGGGTAATGTCATCCCATTCGTTCTCTCTCTCTCAGCCTGACCAGCTACACAAGGTTGTTGTAATGATAGAGAGGGGAGAGAATTGCCATCTATACTGCATTGAGGCCTGTGAAGCAAAGACACAATATAAAAGTAGCAAATTAATAATGAGACCAAAATTAATTGTGCCTCCTCAAAGACTAACAGATTTAATGTCACAATACTGGTCTTTCCATTTTTGTTAAAACATGCTGAAACAAACTAACATGACCTGCTCTTTATTTCTATGAAAAGAGCCCCGTGTCTCCTGGTTCTTGATTTCACAACACAGCCTAAGACTCAATCATCTTAAACATCAGATAACAGGTTTATTTATCTCTACACCAGGAAACCTGCTGACTTCTACATACAATGTGGGCCCAGGAAGCCTTCGTGGGGTTCATGCTGTCTCCCCTAGCATCCACAGGAGAGTCTCCAACATCATTCAGAGAGACTCCGATCACCTCCTCTGTGTTTCTGACATATTCACAACAAAACGTCTACACTAAGTAACAGAAGGTCACTGACAATACATGAAGGCATAAACACAGAGGAGAAATAAAAATAAAATGTGTCCTGTTTTTGTAATAAATACAAAATGTATTCTATTTCAACCAAAAATAGAAAAAAATTTAATAATCCAGCTCTGTGACGAAAGGCTGGCACTGTCATGAAAAAGCAAATGAACACTTTGACACTATTAATTTGAAATAGGTAAAACTTTACAACTTTCTTTTGTCCAATACCTGCCCTGTGTGGATGGTTTCGTACAGTTGACTGAGCTAGATTCTCAAATCTCAACCAAGTCCTAAATGTTCAGACTTCCAATAGGATTATCGTCCATCAGTGTCAGTGGTATAAATACTGTTGCTTCTTGAGCCATGGCACCACCTAATTGACTTTGGATCCAGCTGAGTGAAAATGTCCTCTCCTCCTTTTATTAAGTACCTCAATTTCAGTGTGCACTGATATCCTGTTAATATCCCACTCCAACTATACAGAAGAGAGAGATTGTGGAATGTCTAATATTTAACTGGACCACATATATACTAAACACTGTTGTAAAAGTGAGCATTAGTAGTTAAATTCCCCATTATTATTCTGTTGATTAAATAAACCCCATTTTCCATCTAGCTATTTTCATCCTCCTGCGTTACGTGTCTCTCATAAATCTGGAGACTTCATTCCCCTTTCCCCTGAATTATACAAGTTCAAAATGAGTGAAACCTTTGAAATGCCTTTTTAATACAATGATTTTAAAACCACAGAGAAGAGTAAGTTGCAGCTACTAAAAATTAGCAGGAAATTAGTGACTAGCAACTAGTCATAAAAACAAGCATAATGGGAAAACAGTATGGCATATCTTCAAAATTATCTTAAGGCAAGTTGTCTTGTTTCACTTTTGACACTCTCACATACAAGGATTCATGCATTATGGAGTTGAAGACATTAGGGGGGAAAAGACAGGTCAAGGCATACATTTTCTATATCTTCTCTCTCTTTCTCCTTCCACTCAGGGAACATTACATGTGTTCTCACAACACCAAAATGCAGGAGGGAACAAAGGGTACTTCTGAGTCTATGGAAACCCCACAGGCAGACACTGCATATATGGACTGGATTATAGGGATAAGAGTTTCGATTTTTTTGGACTACAAATCCCATAATTCCTTTTTCTGGGAGACTCATCTGGTCAGACCTAGCCTTACAGACACCTAAATTCTGGGTGCCCTCAAAATAAGAGAATGGTACAAACCTATCAATTCTAAAGGAAATCAACCCTGAGTGCTCACTGGAAGGACAGATCCTGAAGCTGTGGCTTCCGTTCTTTGGCCATCTCATGAGAAGAGAAGACTTCCTGGAAAAGACCCTGATGTTGGGAAAGTGTGAGGGCAAGAGGAGAAGGGGACGACAGAGGATGAGATGGTTGAACAGTGTCATCGAAGCAACCAACATGAATTTGACCCAACTCTGGGAGGCAGTGGAAGATAGGAGGGCCTGGCGTGCTCTGGTCCATTGGGTCACGAAGAGTCAGACACAACTAAACAACTAAACGACTAAACGAATGAACGAAATCGCTTTTGAGTAGTTTCAGCAGAGACAGCTGTGTTAGTCTATGCTAGCATATCAGGCAAAAACACAACAAAAATAAAAAATAAAAAAGTATTGTGGTACCTTAAAGACTAATTGCTATTTTTCATGAGAGCTTTCGTAAACAAGTCCACTTCTTCAGACCCACTTCTGAGTATTCTCTACTGGGAAAACCCTGAAAAGGGTTGCCATCAGTCAGAATTGACTTGACGACACATGATGATTATTTAGTATAAATCTGAATATAAACACCTTTCTATACTGCATATTTTCTAGGACAAAAAATATGAAAGGAGTAAGTCCTATATGGAATGGCAATTATCTGCATGCAATAAACCAAACAGTTAGTTGGTTAGCAACAGCACTGTGAATAGATATCTATTGTATTCCTAATTATTTAGAGCTAAATTGTGCCCTCAGGCTTATCATGCAAAAGCAGAGGTCTTCACTGATTACCGATAATGGAACATTCCATTGCATTCAAGCATAACATTTAATTTATTTTATTCCATCCTGTTCTCTTGCAAAATTATTTAATCTGTAAAAATGCACTGTATTTGTAACTAAAACACAATTCCCCTTCATGCAAAAAAGGCCCTCTGCCATCTTTGTACAATGGAATGCTCTCATTGCAGTGGGAAGTTATATTCAAGATACTACTGAAAAGCTAAAGTGCATAAACCTGTTTTATTATACAGTGTAATTACAATTATAATATAAAATTCATTCTAATACCCACCCTTTGCTCTGTGGTATCTGAAACAGAGCCCCAAAGCTTAGTTTACACCGGCTAGAATCCTATAGTTGAAATTGTGTAAAACTTGATGACAAAATGCCTGCACTAACAAAGCATTGGTTGTGTTCCTGAGTGCACAACTATTTGCATGATGGGGCATGTGCCCATGAACACAACTAAAGCCCCATTAATAAGTGACACTTTGCAGCCAAATGAAGCAATTTCCTTTACACAAGTGTAAGTCACCAACAGGATTCTGATCACTATATACTGTTATTCTAAGCGAGTATAACAGTGTAAGACTGTACTATTGCAAAGGAGGAGACTGGATGACATCATCAAAAGATTTGCTTGTTCAGCCAAACAGTTGTAGCAGTGCTTCTACAGACTGTTATTTGTACTGTACCTTCATTAGCCCCTGAATCTACCTGTACCCAGTTCTCCGCACAAGCCTCTGTAAGATAAAGCCTACATTATCAAATGTGTGAGTGTAGAAAACACTGCCATGCAGATCCCATTCATGATTGTATTTTGGTGTGTATTTATTGCAAACCATTCTGGGAGCCAATGTCAGCTGAAAAAGGGAAATCTGTATCCATGTCATCAATATATAAACACACATGTACATCCACACATACACATGTAACTATTCTGTCATTATTAAAGCATGTGTCCTCCCAAGTGATAAAGGGAGTGTGCCAGCCCTTTCACCACATCGATCTGCTGACTCCCCTAGAACATGGAAAAATCTGGGTTCAGGCTCACTAGAAAGTCTACCTAAACAAAATGGCCTCTCCTTCTTCTGACTGATGCTTTAGGCCAGCCCCTACCCCCAGTGCCCAAGGAGGACACATGCTTTAAGAATAACTGAATAGGATTATACACACACTCACAACCTTTGCCTGAAAATTAGGTCGCTGATATGTTCAGACTAAGGCTTAAATCTAATTGCTAGAGCCACTGAATCAATGGGATTTACAAGGATTGATTCACTATTCAGCATTAGATTCAAGGGATCCACTCCAAGTTGCAGTTTAAGCCAAAGGGTTTTATGCTTTACTGAAAGACAATCAGCTGGCAGTCCTGGAGGGCTGCCACTGGGTCAACAATCCGATTCATTACAAGGCACTTGCTTTGTTCTTTACAGATGCTATTTCAGCCTGTTATTACTTATATGAATCACTTTTATCAAAACAGGCATCCAGGAAACCCCCCAATGTTCTGAATGTTCATTTACATTCACCATTTAAAGCAGAGGCAGAGACTAATGATGACACATGATATGCACTTACGCACATCCACACTCATATATCCCAGCAAAGGAACCAATCGGGAGTTGATATGGGGGAGGCGCACAATGCTCAGATGTGAGAGGCAAAGCATATGTTGTATGTCAAAGCGGTGCGTGAGAGTAAGTTTACCTGTCTGGAGTTCGCCTCTTCCCGTTTTCGTTCACATCGAGAAGCAGCTCTGAGGAGTCAACAGGTGAGGTGGTGCTGGCATCCAGAAGCAGCTGCTCATGCTGAGCGAGGTACTGGGCGGGGTTCTGCTTGGCCAGCCTTGCACAGTGCAGGAGCTCCCGCTGTAGCAGGGGCAGATTGGCCTGAAAGAGCAGAGGAGCAGCATCACAACATACATCCCTGTTAGCAAGCACCCGGCAGCTTTACAAGCACAAAGAGGCCCCCAAATGAAAGCAGGTCCGCTCTATCTTCTTCTTGATCAAGAGTCTTAGCATAAATGCATCCACATGTGTGTATGCAGTTGCTGTTCTAACCAATAGCCCTCTTTGGCCCCCATATCTAAACATCCTCTGTCAAAATGTTCACCTAGAAACCCAGAAAAACAGCATGGCTCTGATATTGGTTTGGTACACAGAAAGGATTTATTTGCCAGAATAAATAAACCTTGAGAGCGGGCCATTAGTACCTAGAAAGGCCAATGGAGAACAGCACCACTGAAATGAGGGCTCCCTTAGCTGAACAAAACTACATCATGCTTTGCCACACTGAACAACAAAAATCTGCTCTGTGACCATCTGGCCCTTCTCCAGCTGCTGTGTATTGCCTCTGGCATAAATAGGTTAAAGCACTGGAAAGGGATGGGGGTTAAAATATTGCAGGATTCTCAGGGGATATAGAGGTCTCTCCCTTTGAGAAAGCAGGATGATAGGAGAGAAAAGGGACACACATGCACCCATTAAAAGCAATAAATTTTCCTCCCTTATCTGAGAAGATCTAAAACAATCATATCATTTATTGCACAAACATCCCCCCCCTGCAAAAAACCCTTCCTACACACTGCCAGTGCTCTCTTAAAATATGCAGGTTTAGACAGCCATCAAATGCTAGAAGAATTTTTCTCTCCTCCTTGTGATGCATTTGCATTCAGGAGATATATTCTCCCATTCAACCAAGATATCTAGGCAGAAATGAATCCACTCTCCTATTCCCCCCCCCCCTCTGGTCACACCATCAAACTGAGTTGTCTGAAGTGGTTATCAAGTGATGGGACTTTAGTGCAGAAACAGTTCAGCAAGCAAGTTTTCTGCAGTTTGTCAGAGTAGAACAA